GTGATTGGAACAGTCATCTTAGGGAAAACACTAAAATGTTTGAGACTTTTTAGTGTGCAGAGTAAAAGGCTGAGGGAAAATGACTGATAATTTCAGTTTCACAAAGCTAGTGGAGAAAGTGAGTGAAAAACTACTGTTCATAAAGTCCCACGGGTGATATCGCTGAAGAGTACCTCCTATTGCCACTTTGCCTCCGCTGTCAGAGACAGCATGGGGCTGAAAGCACCACCAGTCCAAAGAATCAGGCATAAGTTTCAGAACTTGGAGGAAATGTTTTACACTAATAATTTTCTTAGCAAATTATTAACCAGGTGATGAGACAGTGCTGGTGCTGTAAAGTGAGCTACTCAGTGTAGTGTGCTCTGATGTGGGTGTGTTGTCCTTGCTGTCTGACAGGAGGGAACCCATTGCAGTAAAGTTGCTAAAATCAGAAGTAGTTAGTACACTGAATATCAGTTTCTCTAGGAAAAAAGCCACCACTCTGATGATATTACCTATGTGATCACAGGGGATCAATGCAGAACTACTGCAGGCCCCTGTGTGAGGTGGTCACTGACAGGAGGTCAGGCTTGCCCCAACATCTGTAGATTTCTGGGGAGAGCTGCAGAAGATGGGGGCAGGTGGCGAGGTTGTCAGGCTGCAGAGTAACATCACATATTCTCTGGTCGTGGCAGATGATGAGATTCACCCAGTTTCCTGTAGCCATCCCTACCTGATGTTGGATCCTTACACCTGCAGGTCACTGGCCCATGGACCCTTCTGGAAGCAATGGCAGGAGCAAGGCTTCTCCACAGACTTTCTGGAGCACAGTGAAGAGCATACCATGGTGTTCCCTCTTTTAACTGGAGGGGTTACATTTAGAGACCTAGAGGTCACTGTGTGAATCTCCCACAGAGTATGCCATATTTAAAAGTGCTGGTGGAGTGTGCCCAGCAATGTGACATTTAGCGTAATTTTAACACAGGATGCCTCATCTGCCTTGGGTGCCACCACACACTTAGCGTTACATAGGTCCTACAAGTGGACAAGCAGCAAAAAAACTGTATTTTGTCCTGCCCTGTCAGTCCCATGCTACCCCACTGAACCAGAACTGACAGGGACTGTAGACAAGGTGGATAGTTCTCATTAAATATTATTTTGTGCACCTGGAAGCCACATCTGTTAAACACCAGTGGTGGGCTGAACACCACCACAGCATTTGCCCTCCTAACCGAGCAACAGTGTCTAGTAAGTCCAGAAGAGAGTCGAAGGAGGACAGGCCCCACAGCTCTCACCGACTTTTACCTCCTGCGCTTGAGGGTCAGACACAGGAATGATTGATGCAATACATTCAGCTCGACAGTCTTCAGAGGTCTTGCAAGAAGTGAGTTCCAGGGTTCCCTTTTGGAGATTCAAGAATTTATTCGTCCAGGGATCTCACCAGTAAGACACCATTAGTACTCCTTAGCACTTTGTCTCTTCTCTGAGTGCCATAGTTTTCTCTAAAAAACCTTCCCAGAGAGAAAGAAGAGCTGTAGCTGATAATAGAGGCAATACTGCACAGAAACCAGCTGCTTCCTTCCTCTGCTACAACCCTCTGTAGCTCACATGATCATCACCAGGACTGGTGCTGTCAGAAGCCCTTGCTCACATTTATGTCTGAACTCCAAACAGCCTAAGAGAGATGACTCTGGTCCATGGACTTAAAAGCTTTCCAAGGGGTTGATGTTGAAAGACTTGTATATGTGAGAGTTAAATCCACAGTGCATCCACTGATTTTATTGAAAATGTCCTTCTTTTACTTGACTAAATTTTATCAATAATTCACTGAAATCCAAGAGTCCATAGCACGCTGCAAATCCACATAGTGCCATAAAAATGAATAATTCCTTAGTGTAGTTTTGTCCCAAAACATAAGTAAACCTTTCTTCTTGCAGTTAATTTGTCATGATTAAATTAATTAAAGCTGGACATGCCCCCTAATTCCTCTTGCTGATCTGATCTATCTTCCTAAAAAGAGCTTTTTATAACAACTATTACACTATAATTGGCATTTTGTGTGTTCTTTGACTTTTTTTTTCTGTATTTATTTTATTTTATTTGGACTCCTTGAGTTTTGCCATTTTGGCCTTGGTGTGCTCACTGCTGTGACTCACATATTCCACAGCTACTGCCAGATCTCAGGGGCCGATGTTGTAATTATCGCACTAGAATCTGTCATTGTAGCCCTGACTTAATAAATAGACAGAGCAGTGGTTAGAATCGCTGATTGATCCACTCCTCGGTTTTGGACACTCACATCTGAGATGAAGAGAGGGGCTGTGGATATTAAGGGTTTGAAATGTCAGCATTCCAGATTAAATTAGAATTAATTAGTAATTCCAGGTACACTAGCTGTTATATATAGTAACCATTTCTGTAGTTGATAATCTGGTGATGATCAGCTAAAACTGTGACTCAGATGCATCTCATAAGCTGCAGAAAAAAGCCCTGGCTCTTCCTCTGTGCCCAGCTTGCTGGAGCACACAGCAGATGATCGGGGTCCCTTCTCATGGTGCCCTTCAGGAGTGCAACCCAGGCACTGCAGTCTCAGGCGGACATTCGGTTCACAGTTCCAGGATACACTGGTACAAAGCAAGAAAAGCCCTGAAATGTGTGGAGTGTGGACCCTCAGCACCAACCCTCTCACTTTACATACAGAGGTCGGACGGTAACACACTCCGGCAGTGTCTGAGCAAACTGAAGCAACAGCCCCATGCAGGGGATGCTGCTGGTGGTGCTTCTTCACCCCACAGCTTCCTCCATGCTTTCCCTGAAAACTCAGGGCAAGCCAGGAGCCTATGGGGTGGACCAAGAGGGCCAGCAGGAGGTTGACTGGACCGTGCAAGGTGAAGGTAGCTGTTTAAATTGTTTTGGTCCAAATGCAGTGCTGTGCTATGCCGAGGGACCAGTCCTGGTCCAGCAGCAGTCCCAGAAGACAGAGTTGCAATGATGTCTGTTTGCTGTGGCCACAGGCAAAACATGGTGATGCACCATGCTGTGCATGACCACTGCATGGCTCTTCAGGGCAGTTTGTGACAGTTCTGGGGAATGGGCCTACCACATTGGTGTTTTTCTTTTAAAAATCACTTTTTAGAACAAAATTTTGTTATCCTGGGAAGGAGATGAGTGAGGGACTGAAAACTTACTAGGCAACTCCAAATTTTCATACCATCTATGCATCTGGTGATGTTGTGAACATGGATGGCTTTTACCCATAAAGGCTGTATGATCAACATAGACATTTATATTTCTTCAAAACCTGCTTAGCTTAGATTGTGTCCATAGCTTGACAGACATAGACCAGAGTAAGGAAATACTTTCAGTTCTTAAAAATAAACTTAAAAAATTATTTAATTTGTGTGATTTTGTTTCCATTCTTGAACGGGGAAAAGGTTCTGAGAGTTTAAAAGTTCTGAAAACTGGTGTAGGAGTATCATTTTCTAGACTGCTCTGGGTCAACCTTGGCATGCTGACAACTCAAAGCATTCTTTCAAAATCCAGTGACATGGATCTTGTCTGTGCTCTATTCAAAATGTTGTTTTCTGTACTTGCCTACAGTTTATCCTAGGTCAAGGATTCCCTTCCAGGGAGATTTGAATACCGCACAAGCGGAGAGTCATCCTGTGACATATTTTACCACTACAGAACTGCTAAAAGTCATCCCCTCAGCAGGGGCAGTTTTGGGCAAACACTCGGCAAGCTCACTCCTTTCCAAAGCTTTTGGTGTATGAAAGCCACACAGCCCGAGATAAGGAACCCAATTCTCATCTCATCAGTGTCACATTTTGTTCCCTTCATCCTCAAGGGAGATGGAGAGTTGGCTTTTCTGAGCCACCTGCAGGCAAAATGTAATGCTTGTGCCTCTACCTTAAACTCTGCAGTGTGACCACAAAAACCAGCATAGTCAGAAAGAAAATAACCCAACTACGTCTAACAGTAACTGAGGATTAGGGCACACCATGGCAGCTACTTGCCATCTGTCCCTGAATGTAGCATTTCACTTCCTTTTATCTCCAAAATTGGCGTAACAGCACTCATCCACATTTCTAAAGTTATGTCAGGCTTAAGGCCAAATATCTTTTTTTTATTTTAGATTTTAAAATATTATTTATTTTAGTCTCTATCACCAGGACCCCATTTGCACATGAGGGACACCATGCCCTCATAGCTTTGAGGCTCTGGGTGGTTCTTGCTTTGTGATCCTAGGTTGCTAAGTTGCCTGTGTTCAGAGATGCAAGGAATCCTTGCTGTACTTGTTATGTAGCAATCTTGCCCTGCATTCAAAATATTTTCTCAATTTGAAAATATTCTTAGGGATTTCCCACTGAGGCTCAAAGGCAGTCATATATTTTATTAGTTTTATTACAAGGCATGTAAGTAAAAACTTGTGTCTTTGAAAAAAGATATTAGATAGAAAAAGTAATAAAATTAACATTATTCTTTTAAGAAACTTAGTAATAAATACATTTCCCCTCAACATTAAAATGCTTGTTATTTTGCACAACAATAAATACAGCATACCTCTGGCATAGAGAAAGGCCAAGGCTGGATACGAGAAGTACATGTGATTTCTTAAAAAAGCTCAGGTGATTTATAAAGGTTTGGCATCCTGCACTTGATGCACTTTGATACAACTTGCACTTTAATTTTTATTTTACCATGATTTTTAAACAATCCCATAATATGAAAATATGAGAGGAAAATTTGATTATAGGATTATTCCTTTAAATATTTTCAAAGTAAGAGATGTGTAAACTCATTGAAACCCATCCTTGAAATAATTTTAAATAAAAAAAAACTTAAAAAAAATAAAAAGAAAAAAAAAGTGTTTTGGTAGCTATTCTACAAAAATGCAGGTTTTTCAGCTGTGGGTGCTCAAGCCTGACCAGCCAACTGGCAAAGGACCAATCCTCAGTCAGTTCCTCAATTCGTTACACAGTTGTTAAAAAGAAATAATAATAGCAAAGAGAAAGAGTAAAGACTGTAGTATTCACTTCCCAAGACATGGTGGTTTGAAGTTCTTACACTATTATCCAAAGATGAGAGGAGAAAGAACAGGTATATCCCAGAACTCTTCCCAGCATAACTTTGGGTCATTCTGGTATATACTTTTCTTTTTAAAACTACTGAGAAAAAAAAAGGTAGAGAGATATTTCCATGCACTGTGCTGTTCTTATGCCAGCACGTATCATCACAATCACAATGGTGAACCTAAGTCACTTTGGTAGCCCAATCTAATATAGATTGATTGATTGTCCCATGACATAGTTAGATAATGTCCACAAAATGCCACAAGCTCTGGCAGAGTCCAACATTCCTAAAGTACTGATAGATCATGGCAAGACTTGGACTTGAGTTTGAAGGCCATATTCTTATTGTTCTTGGCAACTATTTTGCCCCAAAACCGCCTGGCTTTCTTGGGGATGCTCTCTCTCCGTTTCTGGTACGCCAGACGCTTCTCATTCTTTTCCTTGCTGTCCCTCCGGAGCCGGACTTGCCGCACAATGCCTTCAAACAGCTCTTTCACGTTGTGCTGCACAGCTGCTGAGGTCTCAATGAACTTGCAGTCAAACACAACAGCACAGGCTCTCCCCTCTGCAAAATCACAAGGTGGATATGTCATGAGGTGTCACGAGCTGGGGGGAGCCAAAGCAGCCGCAGGCTTCCAGGTGCAGGGAGCCAGCACCACAGAGGGAATTCCTCAAGCCTAATATGGGCACGGATAAGCCCTTAATCACCTGATGCTGCCTGCTAGTCCATGATTCATCTGCTCTGTGTCATACTCTGCCCAGTGAGGAGGGGCGAGTGCCCTCCTGGAAAAGCCCAGTCCCCGCCACTGGCTGTGCAGGCAGCTGGGGCTGACTGAGACACTGAGGTCAGAGAGGTCAGCCGTGACTCAAAACCATCTGGTCATTGTACGTGCAGACTCCCTCACGTTGCATGTAAGGGTGATGACAGCACCCTCCAGGCACACAGCACAGCTCTTGTCACCACAGGAGACAGAGCCCAGCCTCTTGCCTGGGTATAAACCAGGTTCTTGAGACAGTGGCAGCTTTGGTGTGAATAGACATATGTGCAAAACCCTTAAATAAAGGCAGAGCTGCGCCTATGGCTTTAGAGATACATCTGAAATCATACTTCTTATCCTTGATTACGTGAACCTAAGTTAAACTAAACAGCTGTCTTTCACACACAAGACAATTTACTCTGTCTTCTGGTTTGTCATGAGCTCATCACCAGGATGACTAAAACTACATGAATGCACCTGCCATCTTTCAAAAGATATTTCAAGTGGAACAGAGAGGAATGAGAAGGCAAATAAATACCCCTGGACTCCTGATATACTCCTCATTTCAATCTCCTCACCTGGGAAAGCTGTGACAGGGACCAGAAGAACTGTGAATATTCCCAGTGGGAAAAAAATTCTAGATTAATTGGGAAATACAAGAGCAGAATGGCAGCAGAGAATCACATACTGCAGTGGTCTTACACTAGGAGCTGGAAGGGAAGAAATTCAAGCTGCTTTTATGATGGTAATTAATAAATTTACACAAGGGATTATCTGACATGTAACAGGATTACCAAGGGAGGCTTAAGGACCTGGCAGACCCCTCCCAGTCCTCTGCCCTCTGTTTCAGTCCTCTGCTGTTTTATTGCTCTTTTATTGCCCAGCCCTAATCACAGCGTACTTCCTCAGACAGAGCTCCGTACTTCGTTCAAAAGCTACTAGATGACTCTTAATGTTTATGTTGGTTTTATCCTCATCATTTTCCTTACCTGCCACTGAAACTTCACGGCACCTGACAAGGTCACTTTTGTTCCCAACTAAAATAATGGGGATGTCTTCTTTCTGGCGTGCCCTGCGGAGCTGTATTCTGAGCTCAGAGGCCTTCTCAAAACTCGCCCGGTCTGTGATGGAGTAGACGATCAAGTATGCGTCTCCCACTTGCATGCAGTGGTCTCGAATCCATTCTCCCTCACGCTGTTCAGACAAAAGAGTCAGACATCGTTATGGCCAGAAGATACTTTACTTAGAAAGTATAACATTAGAGAATCCAAATACATTCCTGCATATGGTTTGAATCACAGTAAAAGTAATTCCAATGTGCTGATGATATGAATACTTCACCACAAAGGAGGGCAAAACTTGCCCCAAATAATTCATTGTGCTGGCTTTAGACTGGAATGAACGTGGTCTGGAAAATGGCTTGAATGTTTTGTTTTATCATTAAAAAAAATAAAGAAGGCTTATGCTTCTCAGGCTCACACTGCAGAGCCATTAGGCGTGCTTGGCTTGGTGCAAGGGTGGATTAATCCTATATTTTCCCTGACGTTAAAGTACAGAAAACATCTACTGTCTTTCCCAAAAGATATCTACATTTGATATTAGCACTCACTTATATGCATTTTTATTTTGGCATTTGACTGGAACAAATAAAAGTACCTTATTATCCCACATGTCGAGCAGTATAATGGTAGCACTTTCCCCATCCACCATCAGAGTCCTTTCATACGTGTCTTCTGGAAAGAAAAGCAGAAATGTTGGGAATATATCATTTTGTGGTATCATGTACATTTAAAAAACTCAAGTAATTAAATATGTATAATTTGTTCACAGTTCAAAGTTACTGAGTCAGATTTTATGCTGGCTCACATTCAGTTCTTTCCTCATTTCCATCAGCACTGAACCTGCCCTCTGTTCATTATGGGTTGTCTTACTTTCCATGATATATGAAGGAGGCTGAAAGATCAGGAAACGAAATGTTCATTATTTTGGCTCATATTCTCTTTATCTTATGTGGGAGAGAGAAAATAGAACCAGTGGAAGAAATAACCAAAGGCTGAACATTTGCCCCATGGGAGCAGCAGAGTCCAGCGAGGCTGAGTAATGGAAAATATTTGCTTTCACTTTAGCAGGGACAGTTTATGGGTGAACAGTCACTGCTGCTGAGAGCAACACAGTCACCAGCCTACCAAGCAACAAGGACAGGGCTTTGTGAGACAAGAGCTGTTGAGCTTTATTGAAGCTGAGACATCTGCTGCATCCTCGTTCTCTCCCATTTCATAGTTTCCCCACATCACCTTTGATGTCAAAAATCAAAGGAAGCAACAAACCACAGAAGTTGTTATTTTGTACTGAGGCCACAGAAATTCATACCTAGATTATAAAAGCTGTGCAACAAATTTCTGCTTAGATCTGGGGGGGCTGTTCCCACTCATAACTTGGATCAACCCTTGCTGTGAAATCTCAGTCCAGCTTCTGTTTCATATACTAATCTTCCTTCTTTCCCCCAAATCTGGGGATGTTTGGATGACCAATATGGGGTTTGGACCCATCTCTAATCTTGCGTTGCTGGTCAGTAACATATGCCAGGCTTTGGACTTCTGAGCAAACCACCCCTCAATGGAGTGTTTCAGGGGTCTGTCCCAGCCACCGTTGTAGGTAGGACTGTGTCTTAACCCTTGCCTCATAAAATTTCTATTAGGCATTATTGAAGTGAACATTCCCTCGATTTGTAATCAAAGCCTTTTGTCAAAGCCAGGAATCTACATCCATGCAAAAGAGTAAGACTAAAATATTACATATTTAAAATAAAACAGAGGACAGGTTTGATACAGCTTAAAAGGTGAGATGAAAAAAGCAAAGCTCATCAAGAGGAGCAGTTTCCCTTGCAGGTCCAATAGCATGAGGCTTGCGTTCATTAGTTAAATTAATCTTACAGTCAGTACCAAAGCCAGTCCATAAAAGCAGCTGTATTCCCTCTGTGAGTTAGCTACCCCGAAATCATCCTCGCTTCTAATAAAATTTCTGGTTTGCAAGCTAAGGTTTGGAGAACAGTTTCTTCAACTGATCAAGCATCTATGTGGGAACAAGCTCCATATACACCAGAGGACAACATCTAGAGGACGACTCCATTCTGTTACACATGGAGATGCTACAAATATATGGTCACAGTCCTCAAAAATACTATGCCCAAATGGTCATGTTCAACACTGATTTGCACCTTGGCCAATCCTAAAGAACCTCCATAGGATATAAAACACACTGAAAGTGAGCAACTGGTTTATCTCATGCTTATTTCAAATCTGTCACTAAAAAAGGAGAAAGATAACATCAGCAAGTTTTCCAATACCTCAGCAGAGCTGGCTTTGAAAATCTGTCACTGCTACACTCCAGGCAATATTGCTGGGAGTGCGAATGAAAGAGGAAGCCATACGGTTTCACGTGGAGGGGAAGAAAACTGTTTGACAGGGGGGTGCAAAACAAATCAGCTGCATTTTCTGACTGCTTGCCCAAGGGTCCTACTCTAGATCGCTGGTGTAGCACTAGGAGACCTTTTATCAGAGATACTCCAGGATGAGGAGCTAGGAGGTTACAAGAAAAGTCAGTGGGAGAAGCTGCAGACAAAGCACACCTGAGCAGCTGATTCAGAGTGACTGCGCCACAGAGATTTACAAATCCCCAAAGGAAAAAAGATCAGTGCCCCCAGGTCTGTAACAGCAAGCAAGGAAAATGTGCATCCAGCCTTCCTGATGCTGGGCTGTACTAAACCCTGGATAAAACCTCTCGTAACCAGAGGTAAAGACACAAAAAGCTGTCCTGCCTGTGCTTTACTGAGGACTGGAGGAGAAGATCAGAAGCTCACTGGCACCATCACACCAAGGGAGTACAGGCAGGAGAGGGAAGGGATACGGGAGGGACAAGGAGAGTCCTGCATGCTGACAAGCAAAACCAGGCAGCTACCTGCATGGTCTTCGAAAGTGACAGCATCTGCCTCCTCAGAGCCACAGCGCGTTTCTGTTGCAGCACAACCCCTGCACATCAACATTTCACACACAATATATATAGCTCAGGGCTTGGTGCCACAGCTTCACCTTCTGCTTGACCTGATCTTTGGGTTTAAAGGTTGCTTTGCAATCCTAAACAAAGCAGAGGATAGCAAGGGGGAGGCATCAAAGGAAACCTGCATCTTGTGCCTTTTTCCCCTGTTTGGGCAATAGGAACTTTCCTACACTGCTGAAGGAGCTTTTTCTGGTTTTCCCCTGGGGGAACCCATGCTGGGCAAGGAGATAGATTTCACTCAAACTCCATACAGCCTACACTGAGGTAATGTGTTTATACAGAAAAGCTGAGATTACTTCTAATGGCAAATATTTTGGAGGTGGTTGAAGGACTCAGCAGTGGCTTTTTCTTTATATATTATTTCTAAGCATTTGATTCTCACAGGCCACTAGGACCTACAGCTGTTTTCTCTCTCCCATAGAAAGCTGGAGTCAGCCCATGGAGCCAGTGGTGACCCAAATTTTGGACCAGCATGAAAGCTGAACCAGCCTCCTGTGCAGCATCATCACAGGCAGGAATGAGGCAGCTTCCAATAGGTATTTTGAAATGAAATAACTTCAGAATCTGAATTGTTCTCTTTCAGAGACTTTTAATGATTGTTGGTGAGTATCTTACTCATCTTATTTTGCTTACTTGTTTTCTTAAGACAGATGCATGTGTTGAATCAGTTTTGATGATCAGATCCAAATGTTTGTTCCCTCAATTTTTGATTAAATGGCCTCTCTGCTTTTCTGTGCTAGTTACTACTGGCACAGCTGATTGCGAGTAAACACAAACACCCCAGGACATAATCACCTACCTCCTAGCACCTCGCAGTCGCTGTCGATGCTTTCGTGCACCCCTGCAAATATGTTGGCTAGTGAGGACTTGCCTACGCCGTGCTCCCCGATCAGCACCACCCGGTAGCAATTGCTACCGAACTCAGAGGAGATGACAGAGTCGGACGACTCCGAGGACCAGCTCCTTCTGTAATACTCATCAGGACTGATGGTGTATCGCTTCTGTGGGTTGTACTCATTGGAGTCTTTCTGGACCAGCAGGTTCTTTCCATCAGCAGGGATGCTCCATCGCTGCTGCTGCTGCTGCAGGCTGCTGTTGTGGGTGCGACGCATGGTAACGTTGTTGAGGGTCATTTTTTACCCCTAGTGAGAAACAGGGAAATCACAGGAGTTACTCATAAGACATTTAGAGATGCATCAACATTCTCTTATTCACTTCAAGGCAGCGTGTCCTGCTCTTCTATAGACATCTAGTATACAACAGGATTAAAATTAGACTTTCTGTACTCTTTTGTACTTGCTGGTACACAAAGAAATATTTCTAGTTAGTGAGTCAGAGGCTTTTTCCTAGGGATGATACCACCCTCACATGCTAAATCTTATCTTTGTTCAGCCTTTACGAGCTCATGGCCGTGCTAGGTGCAGTCCAGTCCTGCAGAGAGCAAGGCATTGCTGTGCCCCAGGCAGAGAGGGAAGGGGCAGCGCTCACCAGAGCTGTCCTACATGAGAGCTGCATCCCTGGTGAGGGGCAGCCTCTGGTATAGGCAGCATATACAGACACCGCTCCCCATCCTTTGTGCCTAACTGCAGGCAAACAGAGGCACCGGTCCCAGTTGCCTCCAGAGGCACCGGTCCCAGTTGCCTCCAGCTTCCAGTGCAGCTGGGTGTACAGCTTCCTTCACATTATCTCAGTTAAGAGCTGAAACTTTTAGGAAAGCAACAAAGCATCACTCAATGCAGCCTTAGACAACCCTGATATGAGAAAAGAGCCATGCAAGCAATTCTTGCTATGATTGGGATAGATTTGGGTCTCATCTATAGCCGGGTAAATAAAGAATGGCTCTGCTTCAGACAGTGGCTTTTTGACTGGTAAGAGGGAGGACACAGTCAAGTCCAACAGCTTTTTGGAGGAGCTTGTAAATTTACAGATATTAAGTCAACAACTTCATTTACTGCACTATCAGCTAGATAGGTTGATGCATGGCTCTTAATTACATTTTGCTCAACAAACTCTATTTTGCTGTGCTCGGAGGCAGAGGACAGTGATGTCATTCTCACAGGCCAACAGCTATCATTTTTAGGAAAGTTACTTTGGTGCATTCCAGTGACAGTTATTTAGACATTTTTGCCTTCTGCCATATATCTCATGTTTCTCAGCTCTCTTCTCCATAACAGTAAATGGGATAATAGTCCGTAAAATGCACCCCACCACCTTCAAACCCAAATAATAGGTGGTGAACAAAAAATAAAAGTACAGCAAAGCATCAAAACAACACATACAAATCACTATTCCTTTTGACACAAAACTGTTGAAAACTTACGTGAATAAATGCACAGCAGGACATAGGACAGATATACACAAAAAACACACTCTACCTGAGCTTATTACCACATAAACAGTATTTTCTCCATGATGCACAGTACTTAAAGGCAAAATGAGATTGTTTGCATGGTCCTAGTCACTGCAACTTTGTCAACAAGAAATATATCTAAACTAGAAATCACACACCAAGCAAAGGCTGCTTCACAAACAAAATGAAATATTTACTGCAGTTGAATTTTAAAATGCATTTTTTTCCCTTGCAGTTTCCCCACTGAAAAGACCAGATGAGAAAAGCCAGCTCCAGTTCAGTCAAACAACAGAGCCTAACTCACAACTTGCTATAAGCAGTCACTCACCAAACTGTCACAAACATGAACATTTTACAATTTCACTCCTAACAAACTCTCATTCCGCGGTAAACAAAGCCAGACAAGCCCCTGTCACACACTGACTTCCAAGTTCAAATTGGTTTTGATACCCTGTGCTGTATTTAGCAGTATTTCTCTCTAGCACCAACAGCAAGAGGCTATGTCCGACCCAAGGCTGCCTTACTTCTGACCGGCTCCTCCGGCAGCTGCCTCCTCTGCTCGCACTGCCCCTCTCCCTCTATGAGCTGCGATGCACTGAGCTGCTCGGCCGGAGTAAATCCTCTTCTGCTTTAGGGCTGCCTTTTTAATTCTTTCTCAGCAAACCTGGTTTATATTAAGCCCATCTGATCAGGGACAGGGCTTTTCCGTGACGCGGTTGTCCTTTCCATACAACAGCCAGCCCCCAGCTGGGAGGAAGCAGACATGCAGAAGAGCAAAAACTTGCAAACAATCTCAGAAGACTTACTCAAAATCATATGATTGTCTTAATACTGCCAGTAAAATAAACACATTTGGCTCTTGCATGATGATAACAGGAAAGTGGGAAAAAAACCAAAATAAAACATGCCATTTCACCTCACAAAGTTTTTCATTCAAACGTTTCCAAAATTAATGATCTTTAAAATATGACAAGTTTCATCAATGCATAAAATTCTGTAAATATGCTATGTTCTTTGTCTGCAAAATGCACTTAAGACTCTGCTGGACAAAACTTTTCTTTGGAATAAAATAACTGAATGCTTGTTATTTTGGAGTTACCTTAAAAGTAGGAATATTATTCTCTTTTGATTTTTCTCTTAAAATGCTCTGATATAGACAATCCTATTTTTCTCTGTCAGCCTCCAAGTGACTGACCCCACTTTCCTGAACTGCACAACCAGCTCTCACTTCTGCTGCAATCCTTTACTAGCAAGGGCTTGAAAACCCACCCAACTATAAATTCAGTGTAACTCCAGCTGGATGGCGGCAAAGAACACACGAAGTTGGAGTAGCATGGTGTTGATTCTGTCCACAGTTCATTAGGAAAGATGAATATACAGTGCATATGCCACAAGCTCACGGTCTACTCCTTAAATATTTGTAATCTCATGACACATTGGCAGAAAAAATTTTCCCAGAAAGAAAAAATAATCCAAGCGTGTAACATGTGCCACCAGGTGACACTTCTAACAATCTATGCAAAATACTTCTTGATTAACAAATGAAGAGCAATAAACTTCCACAGAACTACTCGGTAGGGATATCACAACTTATATAAAAGCATATGGGAACTCTGTAGTCAGCTCTCTAGACTCTGGATTAACTGCGATGAACTCAAAACCAAGCTCCTACAGCTTTTCCTTATGTTTACAATTTCCTAGTTACTCTATCAGAACTGACAACCAACAGGTGCCTAATTCTTATTCCACACATAGGAAGTCTAAACAACTTTGCTGCTGAGCAGAGGGAAGAATATATTCTTTATTCATGAGTTCTTTTCAGTTATGGGATAGCGAGCCTTTAACTGACAACGCACCTTTATTAGAGGGAGCAGTGATATGCAGAAAAGAAAGTCTATTGCTATGACTGCAGCCTAGCACTTATTTCACATTCTTCCACAGTAAAATTGATTATTTTTCCTGTGAAAAAACCAGACCTTTACGAAATTCTTCAGTTGAAATCTGCTTGCTTTTATTTCCCCTTTGGCTTTATTGCATTCCTGTGTCTTTCATGAGGATTTTCAGGGACCTCCTGAGCCCATTCTCAAGTTAAAAGAGCCAAGAGCATTTCCCTAAATAATATGTTCTCATTAATGTACATGGAAATTATTCCATGGAGAATTGCACAAAATCATGTCCTGATTTTCCTTCACCTGTGTTCCACTGCTTGACAGCAGCTGAACTGGCCCTGAGTTCTGCATCTCCACCTCACCCCATCCCTCATACAGCAGGATCTGAGCCTCTGCTGCTCTGTGATAATCTCAAAAAGCACAAAGGGGCACATCCCTCTGCATAGGATGTACAGAGAGGCTGTTATACTGACTGCACAAAAACCAACAACATCTCTGTCTGGAAAGGTTTCTGCAATGGCCGGTGGTTTGCAAGAGGGAGCAAGATTGTTTTGCCATCAGTACACTCAGCCCTAGTTCTGACATTGCTCGGGTTTTCTTGAAACATGCTGGAAAATATGAAGGAGAGTGGGTGGCTGGAGTACTGTGCTCTGCACCTCAGGTTCACTTACCTCTCTCTAAGTTGTCTGTAATTTGTCACTGTGAGTAAAAGAGGAAAACCTGTCCACCACAGGACTGGAGAGATTTATGGCCAGATTGATCTCAGCTCTAATGCTTCACCCAAATATTTAACGTATATCATAACAGAAAGCACAGACAGCAGAAATAAACCAAAGTCAGAGAAGTCTTTATGTGTAGTTATAGGTAGTGTTAGATCAGAAACTGCTAGACATCATCTTCCATAGCCCCTTCATAAAATTGAAGGCAGGCAAAGAAAACATGGCTCTTCAGCGACCACAAAATATATCTTCTCTATAAAGCCATTTATAAGGGTTGTCCCAGCTGTGGCGTGAAGCACTTGCACTTGGGAAACTTGTGCGCATGTCTTCCATTGAACTGTCTCTTCTAAGCCTGAGTTTTCCAACTGGACAGTTAACTCTCCAGACCCCGTTCTGATCTACTTGTCTGCCTCCTTGTGATGAAGAGCTCTTGTTTCTCAGGGAATGCCATTAGCACTCAAGAATTCCAATCGCTATTTCCATGGGGAAAACTTTTCCTTACTTTTTATAAAGTTAGGGAGAGGTGCAGGATTTTCATCCTCTTGGTACTTTTTTACCAGCGAAAACAGTGGGTTGAGTAATGAAATATATGAACTAAGCCCTTCTCAGTAGGGTTGACTATAGGCTTGGATTTCCAAATACAATCCCATAGATGAGTGGAGGCTGATGCAATCCTGAACTGCTCAGCCCTTTTTGCACTCTTTGCTGGCCAACACTTCAGCAACTCAAACTGCCTGAGACACAGGCACAAGAAGAGACAAACCACAGGGCCAGATGCTGTCGTAACACACACAAATGCTTGGATGTTACAGCCTGGTGCAATATTAAAACTCAGGGTGATTGCTTTTTGCTCCTCTTATCCATTCTCTGTTTCAATAATCATGTCTTAAAGGAATGCTCCTTGAAGTAAACATTGCAGAGTAACAGCTCTGCAATCCTTCTACAGCCAGTTACAATTAGACCAGAGCAATTAGGCAGAAATTTTCCATTGGATATAAAACAGCAGTGCTTTTTAGCTGACACTTAATTAGCCATTTTGTATTTAGCTATATGAAGGCAAAAGTAGATTCTCAAACCACTTTCTGGCATAAGGAACATGCACAGAGATGGCCTGAATCAACTCAGAGGGAGGAGGAAATGCAAGGCAGGGGAAAACTCAAAAAGAAAAAGAAAAAAAC